TTGTCTGACTATTGACAACAAGTTATACAAAAAATAGTTTTAAAACTTATGGTTAAAAATATGACTTTTTGAATGAGTTTTCCGTATTTTTATCATTAGATTATAGAGAGAGAGAGAGAGAGAGAGGATTGAATTACTGGATCCTTTAAGTCAAACACTTACCATAATTCACAATAAATACGTGCAGATTATCGTATATTAATCCCTATTCCGGATGAGACTATTTATAAAATAGATGAGACAAACATTTTATAAGGAAGTAATCAATTGAATTGTTTTATGTTTTAAGACGTTTTCCTTAACATTGAAAGCATTAACATCTTTACATCAAGTAATGATAAAGTTTAGATAATTTTATAAACTAAATATGACTTGAATGTTTATTGGGTTTACCTGTGGTTACCTCTAAAATAATAACTATTAATTCAAATACCGAACCCAAAAGTCAGTGCACTTGAGAGCAAACAACAACTCTCTATATAATCTAACGATAAAAATACGGAAAACTCATTCAAAAAGTCATATTTTTAACCATAAGTTTTAAAACTATTTTTTTATAACTTGTTGTCAATAGTCAGACAAATGTGGGGACAGTAGGACGACAAGCGGACAGCCGTCAGACGAGCGACCGATGGATGAGTTGCCGACACTTATCAACGAATTAGAGAACATATTAATTAGGATGAGCTCCGACTCCTTCTACGCCACCCCCTGTGCCTCCCCGCCCGCCACATCGGCCGATAGCTGTTCACCACCGCCTAGTCTGCCGCCAAAAGTCAAACCCCGGCGCTCGCAGACCACCAGCACCGTGTCCACGACGTCCACCACTTCATCCCTGAGCCTCCGACCCCTACCGAAACCGCCTAAAAACATACCGCCCCCTAAACCGCCACATTTGCCACCCGCGACACCGCCCCCACCACTACCCGACTCACAGCCGCCACAGTTATCATCACCACACCTACTGGCGCCTGAGGTCCCGTCCAGGTTTCCCATCAAAGACAAGATACTGAGAGATAACGTGGATATGGAGGGCAAGATCATACACCCGATACGCAAACTGAGTGAACCCTTTCACCGGACACAACCAAAAATACCAATCGGTTTGTCTTTTAGAAAGTGTTTTGTTTTTTATATCTATTTATCTTTGGATAATATCTGTGTTTTCACTGATGCCATGATTTTTCAGTTGATCCCTATTATTGTCAACATTCCGATTGCAGATTCAAAGGTACACTACTTGTGAATGTCTTGAGTGTCAACTAATTTATACTAATAAGTACAGCAATGTCCCAAAAACTTGTTATTAATTAAACTAACCCCAAAAAATAATTTATTTCTATGCCATTAATTACAGATATTTTCATTTTCTAAACTTAATATTTAATCATATTTTAATTAATAAACTTAACATTTATTGCTTTTTTGCCGCTAATTAACACAATGCGTACCACTTGTATACTTTATAATTAATATACCTTGTTAATTGTCTGTTTAATGTATCTCAAAACTATTAAAAGATAACTTTAATTAATGTCTAACATCCCTGGCCAATACACAGGTATAGCCCGTTCACAGACATTTCGTTCATCGGACAAACACAACAATCATATAAATCAGCGCATAATGAGCCCCAACCACAACAAATCCATTATCCAAAAGTGCGGTTATCTCTGGAAAACGGGATCAAATCGTCGCGAATTTCTGGACCGATGGTGTGTTTTGCACCGCAATGACCAACAACTGGATGAGGCGGTGCTGGCCTACTATGTGGACCGCAAGACTACCAGTGCCCGCGGAAAGATTATGCTCAAAGACATCGCGTTTGTGCGGACACTGCCGGCGATCACCTGCAAAACCAAACTGCCGACCATCACCTCAACCATTGATTCGTCAAACTTTTGCTACTTCGAGATCGGCGTCAACTGTAGGAGAGGGAGGATCTACTTATTCGCCGCCAAATGTCTGTCCGATCAGAAACTGTGGTTCAGTATCATCTGTCAGGCCGTCGCGTGGGATAACTTCACGCTTAAAGGTATGTCCAAAAAATTGTTTGAGTTTTTGTTGACTAATATCTGTGTCCACACTTTCGCAGATACTTTCCATTGCGGTTACGTTCATATGAAATACGGTATATCCGGTCAATGGCTCGTCAATTATGTGCTGTTGAGTGAGGGAAAGATTATTGTCATATCCAAAGACTTTGATGAACACAACGATAATAAAAGTGTCAAATCGTCGGAGGATAGCGATAGTTATATGAGTACCGATTCCTGCGATAGTAGTAATTGCTATCATGCGTATGAAATAAGGAAAGCCATGTCCATTAGCTATGCATCCGTTCATCAAATCAATTCGTGCTCAACGGTCCACGAGTCCGGTCAACCCATTTGTCTCACTTTCCCCCATAAAGTACTCTATTTTCAGTGTGAATATAAAACACACACTGAGTTGTGGTAAGGAATTGTAGTTTTAGGTACTTTTAACAATTAATACTAAATTTTATACAGTAATATCAGTAACTAGTAAATACTGGTACAGTATACTGTATACGGTATTACCGTAATTACTTCTATTACCGTACCGGTATCATAGATTGACTATTGTTTTACAGTATTACTATTATTTTTAGTGAACTTATTATAAAGTAATTAAATGTTTTAAAATTATCACAAACTCTAGGTATCAGTCATTTTTGAAATTATGGACANCCGGAATAGGGATTAATATACGATAATCTGCACGTATTTATTGTGAATTATGGTAAGTGTTTGACTTAAAGGATCCAGTAATTCAATCCTCTCTCTCTCTCTCTCTCTCTCTCTATAATCTAATGATAAAAATACGGAAAACTCATTCAAAAAGTCATATTTTTAACCATAAGTTTTAAAACTATTTTTTGTATAACTTGTTGTCAATAGTCAGACAAATGTGGGGACAGTAGGACGACAAGCGGACAGCCGTCAGACGAGAGACCGATGGATGAGTTGCCGACACTTATCAGCGAATTAGAGAACATATTAATTAGGATGAGCTCCGACTCCTTCTACGCCACCCCCTGTGCCTCCCCGCCCGCCGCATCGGCCTATAGCTGTTCACCACCGCCTAGTCTGCCACCAAAAGTCAAACCCCGGCGCTCGCAGACCACCAGCACCGTGTCCACGACGTCCACCACATCATCCCTGAGCCTCCGACCCCTACCGAAACCGCCTAAAAACATACCGCCCCCTAAACCGCCACATTTGCCACCCGCGACACCGCCCCCACCACTACCCGACTCAAAGCCGCCACAGTCATCATCACCACACCTACTGGCGCCTGAGGTCCCGTCCAGGTTTCCCATCAAAGACAAGATACTGAGAGATAACGTGGATATGGAGGGCAAGATCATACACCCGATGCGCAAACTGAGTGAACCCTTTCACCGGACACAACCAAAAATACCAATCGGTTTGTCTTTTAGAAAGTGTTTTGTTTTTTATATCTATTTATCTTTGGATAATATCTGTGTTTTCACTGATGCCATGATTTTTCAGTTGATCCCTATTATTGTCAACATTCCGATTGCAGATTCAAAGGTACACTACTTGTGAATGTCTTGAGTGTCAACTAATTTATACTAATAAGTACAGCAATGTCCCAAAAACTTGTTATTAATTAAACTAACCCCAAAAAATAATTTATTTCTATGCCATTAATTACAGATATTTTCATTTTCTAAACTTAATATTTAATCATATTTTAATTAATAAACTTAACATTTATTGCTTTTTTGCCGCTAATTAACACAATGCGTACCACTTGTATACTTTATAATTAATATACCTTGTTAATTGTCTGTTTAATGTATCTCAAAACTATTAAAAGATAACTTTAATTAATGTCTAACATCCCTGGCCAATACACAGGTATAGCCCGTTCACAGACATTTCGTTCATCGGACAAACACAACAATCATATAAATCAGCGCATAATGAGCCCCAACCACAACAAATCCATTATCCAAAAGTGCGGTTATCTCTGGAAAACGGGATCAAATCGTCGCGAATTTCTGGACCGATGGTGTGTTTTGCACCGCAATGACCAACAACTGGATGAGGCGGTGCTGGCCTACTATGTGGACCGCAAGACTACCAGTGCCCGCGGAAAGATTATGCTCAAAGACATCGCGTTTGTGCGGACACTGCCGGCGATCACCTGCAAAACCAAACTGCCGACCATCACCTCAACCATTGATTCGTCAAACTTTTGCTACTTCGAGATCGGCGTCAACTGTAGGAGAGGGAGGATCTACTTATTCGCCGCCAAATGTCTGTCCGATCAGAAACTGTGGTTCAGTATCATCTGTCAGGCCGTCGCGTGGGATAACTTCACGCTTAAAGGTATGTCCAAAAAATTGTTTGAGTTTTTGTTGACTAATATCTGTGTCCACACTTTCGCAGATACTTTCCATTGCGGTTACGTTCATATGAAATACGGTATATCCGGTCAATGGCTCGTCAATTATGTGCTGTTGAGTGAGGGAAAGATTATTGTCATATCCAAAGACTTTGATGAACACAACGATAATAAAAGTGTCAAATCGTCGGAGGATAGCGATAGTTATATGAGTACCGATTCCTGCGATAGTAGTAATTGCTATCATGCGTATGAAATAAGGAAAGCCATGTCCATTAGCTATGCATCCGTTCATCAAATCAATTCGTGCTCAACGGTCCACGAGTCCGGTCAACCCATTTGTCTCACTTTCCCCCATAAAGTACTCTATTTTCAGTGTGAATATAAAACACACACTGAGTTGTGGTAAGGAATTGTAGTTTTAGGTACTTTTAACAATTAATACTAAATTTTATACAGTAATATCAGTAACTAGTAAATACTGGTACAGTATACTGTATACGGTATTACCGTAATTACTTCTATTACCGTACCGGTATCATAGATTGACTATTGTTTTACAGTATTACTATTATTTTTAGTGAACTTATTATAAAGTAATTAAATGTTTTAAAATTATCACAAACTCTAGGTATCAGTCATTTTTGAAATTATGGACAATTCCCAAGAACAGTAAGTTCGAGGACCAGTACCTGACCAACGATAGCATACCCGTCGCTATCGATAAGTGCATCAATTTCATCGCCACGTACGGCACCGACACTCCCAATATCTACATACAGCAGAACCTTCAGTCACCTGTAGCTCAGGCCATAGTCCATGAGTTTCACAATAACGCATGGGATCTACAGCTCCGGATGGACGCCCACTCTGTGCACGATATCACGGCCGCACTCATACTGTTCCTCAAATCCATGTCCGAGTGCATACTCACTGAGAAATTATACCACAATTGGATTAAAGCTAATGGTGTGTAGAATTGTTTATTTTGTAAAAAGTGTTAATTTGATTAAAAATTTTGATATTTTGTTTGCATTACAGAACACGAGAACCGAAACGAGAGATTACAGAAGTTTAAGATTTTGTTAAATTTATTACCGATTGTCAACTATTTAACGCTTAAGAAACTTATCGCACATATTGTTTGGTGAGACATTAATCTGTTTGTAAATCATAATACTGTAATCTTAAAATTTATTTACTACCGTATCACCTTTATTACCGTAGTACTTACCGTTAAGGTACAAATACATTACCTGACACGTTTATATTGTTATCATGACTAGTATAAGATTTCCATATAAACCTAATGTGTATTTAGTTTATTTTTACTGATTTAAATAGACATATAATACTTATAAGTTATAACAATTAATATTTTATTTCAATGTTTAGTATAATAGAAAACAGTGACAAAAATCAGACGTCAATCCTAAACCTGGCGCCGGCCTTATGTCACACCATACTGTTCCTGAAGTGCGGCAATAAGATAGTGGACGACAGAGTGTCCACATTTGACGGCGACAGCGCCGGCATCGACATCATGACTGACTTCATACAGTCGTACGGCTGGCTCTTTGACGTGACGACACAAGAGCTGGAAAAGGAGCGAAAGATACAGAAGGCGTTGGAACTGCTAAAAGACGCCAAACAAAAGGAGTTGGGCCTCAAACTCAACAAGAAGTCTGTGTCCGACTGCGAGGAGTTCCTCATCGGTGTCTACGTCTACAGCCGCGAGTGGGGGAAGTGTCTGAACGTTAAGCTCACGCCTACTATGTCTGCGGCCGATCTCATTGAATATGTGGTCAAAAAGGTTTTTCGCACAAAATAACTGCATTTTGTGAATCTTAATTGAAATACTGTTTGTTTGTGTGGTTCGCAGACAAACATTAAGGACAACACGGAGAAGCTATCGGTCTATGAGGTCGTGTACAACGAACAGCTGGAACGGGTGCTCCACTACAGCGACATCGTGTTAGGCGTGACCCTATCGTGGGTGAAGTGGTCGCAGCACTACTCGCGCGACAACTACCTGTGCATCAAACAAAACAAACTGTACGAACAGATCGCGTCCCACATCGCCATCCAGACCCCGATCACCATATTCTCGGAGATGAAGTTCGCCGACAAGGCGTCCAAGAGTTTCAAAAAAGTTTTGGTTGAGTTCATTGGCGCCAAACTGTCGGTCTATAAGGATGAGAAGGGCGAGAAATCCTTAGGCCAGTGGTGTGTGGAGGACATCACCTGGTATTTGGGGGCCGAGAAAAAGAGGTCTAACGGCAACAAACTGTCCGTCACTTTCATCGATAGGAATAATCCGATCGTTAAGTGAGTATAGACTTGAGGGTAGAGTTGAATGTTTTGTTATTTTATTTATCTTTGAATTAACTATAGGACCAAAGAGTGTCCCTATTTTGGTCGTGTCCTGTGCTGTAATACTGAGGAGGATTACCATAAGTGGATCGCCGGTATGCTGTGCGCCGAGTATCCCAATGGAGTCGTTAATAATGGGAATCATAGACAACAAACAGATTTGATGGACTAAACCACTCGCAGAGTCTCTCATATAAAGTTTAATTGATTTTTAAATTTAATTGTGAATTATATTTATTGTATCTTTAAAATATTAACATTTTATATACGTTTTGTCATTTTTATCTCATATTAAGTCATTAGAAATTTATAAATATGTAACGAATTACACGAAATAAGTTATAAATTAAATAATTTATACTTTGTTGATCATGTCCAACAAGCCTAACAAGTATTTATTGTCTCCCAGCGCCCGGACCTCATCCCTGATCGCGCACTCCAAGTGCTTCAACCGTTTCAATGTGTACTCAAACGATCCCAAACTCTCCATCTTCTTGAGCGCCAATTCTTTCACTTCGTTGTCACTCGTCCTCTGTTTTAGGATTTCTATAATTATGTCATTTCATCGCAAAAATTAATATATTTTTTATAACAATTAAGACATGAAATGATGAATTCATACGCAATAGTGTGCTGTCGTTGGGATCACTTTCAATGGCGTGTATTATAGGGAATGAAAACTTTCCTTCAGTTAAATCCTCACAAAATCCTTTATTCATAGCGTACTAAATGTGACAAAAATAGTTGAAAATAGTTTAAATATAATTATTATTAAAATCATTGTAAGTATAGATACCTTATTTGACTTTAGGTTCGCGTAATCGTCATTAATCTGGAAGTAATGACTTAAAGCTATCACAAGTGGATTGAAATCCCGTTTATTATCACTGAATATTTGCATCAATTGGACGGCCAGTGAGAACAGTCCTCCAGTTTTCTTGTTAATCATATTCATGTATTCCTCTTCAGTCGGACATATGAACGAATCCCTCCAATGTATATCCATTCCTTGTATTACATAAATAATTAATTTATTAACTTATTAGAGAGAGAGAGAGAGAGAGAGAGAGAGAGAGAGCTGAGAACTACCCTGTCCTCTGTGCAGATCCAGCAACTTATTAGTGAACAATTCAATGGCATTTAGTCTGTTTGTCTCCGGTATGTGTTGAATGATCTTCTGGAGGGCCAAGAAATAGCAATAATTGGCACTATTGATGGTCGATCCTACCCCGAAAATTAGGTGCGCCGTCGGTATACCTCGCCTTAGGTTTGAATTATCCTCGATGTCATCGATTCTGTGAATAATTATCTTTATGTTAATTCAATTGATACTCAATATTATAAGTTTTCATACAATAGACTTGAATTATGAAGAAGTTCTATGACTTCTGATACCATTAAGAGGTGTTTGTCCGGTATTTGCAGCCAAATGTTGAATGCCTATAATTACAATTTATTATTTAATTTAGAAAGGCTATTTTAGCATTAATAGTTATATTTGGTAACTTTTATTACTATTGTGTATCAAATAGATTTCTTTTTTACTCAATTTATAAAACATTCAAATCAATTTATTATTTTCTACAATTATATCTTAAACTTGAATATTTGTAAATTGTTTAGTATTTTATTATTAATTAGTTAAACAATTTGTTAGTATCAACTACTGGTGCCTAAATTGTTCCAAAATTAAATCTTAAAAACCATAAGATTTTAATATGATGGTAATATGATGTATACCATTATGGTGTTATAGATTAGTTTATATATTTGTTGATTATAATTAATATGACAGTTTTCATTTCCTAATATTGGATATTTTCTGAATTTGAAATTTTCGTAATATAATCCCATTATAAACTGGAATTAAGTTTTCAAAACATATTGCCATTAATATGATAATCATAATTAAAACCTTCTCAATAGTACCGGTACTAATAAAATATAGCAAAACATAAATTAAATGAAAAACATTTACAAAATAAAAATTTAACTTATTAACTTTTAAAATATTAATAACATAAGGCTAGGTAGTAATACTGTATTATTAATATTATCTAATTTTAAATATGTTTCTCTACTGTATTTGTGTATTAAAAGCATAACTACTTTTTAATTAAAAATTACTAGTATAAATATATTATCATTGATATTTTAAATAATGCTTAATAATATGGATTTATATTTATGAATACCTGGATGAATTTAGAACGAAATTCTTTGCCATTAGTGCCAATTAAATAGTTGTACGGCTCTAACAGTATCTATGAATTGGAGAATTTATTATAATTAGTAGACTAAATCATTACAAATTATAAAACACAAATAAAAATAATCTTACATTTGAATAAATGTTATTTTCAGTCATTTTAATTTAAAACTTTTACTTATAAGATAAATTAAATATTTTATATTAATAACTGTTACGCAGATTTACTGTTAAAATTTTATTTCTAAACTAAATTATAAACATCTATTTGTGACATATGTTTACGTACTGGAGGGAAACACCAAATTGATTTTTAAATTTATGTTACATTTAACATATATTTCTATTTTTAAAAATATTTAATTTCCATTAAAATTAATAAAATATTTTGTAATACATTTTAATTAATACTGTAGTTTATTAATTGGTAAATCCAGTGATCAAATATGTTTAATACAAATCATTTATATTTTTATCATAATTAATATTAAATCTAAACTATAAAATGTAAAATCTATTATTTAGTGTTTTTGATTTACATTTATATAAAAAATTAAGTTGAATAAATTAAGCTGTCTATAATGATTATGTTATTTATATTTAAAATAACCTAGTAGAATTCTATGAGACACCCCATTTCTACATAATTAAACGTCACTATAAACCCAAATTTATAAATATACAGGATACAAAAAAGTACAATAGTTGTTTGGGAGACAACATATTATTTAATAAATTATAATTAAAGTATGCTAAGTATTTCTAAAATAATTTTTTGTTATAAGTTTGAACAACATAATAAATATAATAATTATTTGTATTTATTGTATTAATAATCATTTATAAGATCTATAGTACATCTGAACCTGTTTTCATACATTTGTGGAAATAATTATTATGAAGTATCGCAAATAATGACTTGTTTTAAATAAAAGACAAATTATCTAGACATAATGGATTTATGGTATAATCTAAAACATTATGAGAATTCATAATAGAGACAAATAATAATTATTATGTAATAAAACATATAATTTTATTTTAATGGTATTCAATTTGAGCCTGGAAATCAATAATCAAATGACATAGAAAATATTATACAACTGTACTCATATAACTGTATACAATGTACATCTATTGTATAGATTTAATATTCTGTTAAACAGTGTAATCCAGCTTAATTGTTAATATTTATACTGTATATAACTTAATTTATTTATAAATAAATATAGTTATGCTAGCACATGCTGTCCAAAATATTAATCGTTAAAACAAATGAAAGTGTATTTCAAATAAAATAATTTGTTTAGTACAAGTAATATATGTACATACATTTGATTATTTAATTTTCTGAGACTTTTTTTTTTATTGATCCATTCACACTTCAAATCGTAATCTAAATGTTAGATGCAATTACTTTCTAAATAAAAAATATTTTATAAATATAATTTATAATAAATTTTTTATATGGTAACTTTGTTCGTAATAAAAATATTTTGTTATTTTAATATAATGTAGGCAATGGACAATTCAAATTATATTTTACGTTTTAATCAAATATATGAAGTCATCACTTATGCAAACATTTATTTTCAACAATCATATGGCTGTAACCAAACAAAGTCTGGTAACAGGGTCATCTATGTTATTGCTAATAACGTAAGTATTATCAACTTGTAAAAGTATATAAAATAATAACTTAATAAATTACAGGACTTTATATTTGGTACCACTTTAATAACCAAACAAAGTCTGGTAACAGGGTCATCTATGTTAATGCTAATAACGTAAGTATTATCAACTTGTAAAAGTATATAAAATAATAACTTAATAAATTACAGGACTTTATATTTGGTACCACTTTATCCCTGGTCCAATATCTATTGTGTTCATTACAACTACAGATAAAATTTGTAGAAGAATATAACATAGATGTAATTATGGTATTTTTCTTAAATATGCTTTGTAAATTTAGCATGTTATGTTTTAGAGCAACATGGTCAACTTAGATACAATATGGCTAAAGGATGATCAGATCAAATATTATCACCTAGTAGTTAGTGAACAGATATATGCACTGGAAATTATAACGGGAACTAGATTAGATCAATCCACTAGTAATTTATCAATTTTACGATTGTTTGATGCAATAGTAAGTACTAGTAAAATAATTTTGCATAGCTTGTTTAATTTTTTATTCAAAAATTATATAATGACAGGTATGGACTAATTTAATAGTAAGCATTACATTGGTTATTATTTTATTAAACACTTTGAACAAAACTCATCACATAAGTTATGGATTAGCAATAGTCCAATCGCTTACAAATCAAAATATACCGCAATTTTCATCACTTTTAAAACTGCAAAATTGTCGAAATAAATGTGATAGATCACTTCTCATCTCACTAGCCTCTATATGGATAATATGTGCATTTATCCTAACAAGATCATTTACCAGTTTATTGCTTAACACGTATATTAAAGTGAAAACAATACCGATGTTTAATAACTTGCGTGAAGTGCTCGACGATAGCGATGTATTAATCGCCGGAAATTCAGACTTTTATTCAGACAATAAAGAGATTATTAAACGCATTGAAAATTGTCAGAAACACTTGAATCTGGAGTTTGACTCAAATCTCATACTCTTGGATCCCATGGTATTCAAAGAGATGGTCGACGGAAAGGCAGTTATATTCGTGAACACAGTTGTGGCCAAAGTTTTTGACGAAGAATACAAACAAATGAGAGACCAATACAATAGAGTTGCCGACAAATATTTGCCCACATTTTCGGTCAGATGTGTTGAGAAAAAGTTTGTTTTGGAAAAGCAAATGAAAGTTTTGTAAGCTATTTGATACTAGTTTAAAATTATATCTTAATATTTATTAATTATACTAATATTATGAAATAGATTTCAAAGGGTTATAGAGACGGGACTCGATGTTCACAATGAAATGATTGGCAATATTTTCAGAGAATATACTAAATCTGAGACAATTTCAATACCAATGGATTTCACTCCTAAAGTACATAGTCTTAGACTAAGCGAAATATCTAGAAATACTTTTTTCTTACTTTACATCGGCTTTATTATGTCTGTCATTAGTTTTATTATTGAAAAATTATTTAATAATAAAACTTCATATGATTTAAATGCGTTTCACATTAAACTATCAATATATAACTTAAAACTGTTTTAAAATGTAATTTATAATTCTTAACCATTGTACATCAATTGCATAATATTATAATAAATTGTTTATTAATTGTATATAGCAAAAAGTTTTGGTTGAGTTCATTGGCGCCAAACTGTCGGTCTATAAGGATGAGAAGGGCGAGAAATCCTTAGGCCAGTGGTGTGTGGAGGACATCACCTGGTATTTGGGGGCCGAGAAAAAGAGGTCTCACGGCAACAAACTGTCCGTCACTTTCATCGATAGGAATAATCCGATCGTGAAGTGAGTATCGACTTAAGGGTAGAGTTGAATGAATTGTTGTTTTATTTTATTTATCTTTTTATTAACTATAGGACCAAAGAGTGTCCCTATTTTGGTCGTGTCCTGTGCTGTAATACTGAGGAGGAGTACCATAAGTGGATCGCCGGTATGCTGTGCGCCGAGTATCCCAATGGAGTCGTTAATAATGGCAATCATAGACAAAAAACAGATTTGATGGACTAAACCACTCGCAGAGTCTCTCATATGAAGTTTAATTGATTTTTTAATTTAATTGTGAATTATATTTATTGTATCTTTAAAATATTCACATTTTATATACGTTTTGTCATTTTTATCTCATATTAAGTCATTAGAAATTTATAAATATGTAACGAATTACACGAAATAAGTTATAAATTAAATCATTTATACTTTGTTGATCATGTCCAACAAGCCTAACAAGTATTTATTGTCTCCCAGCGCCCGGACCTCATCCCTGATCACGCACTCCAAGTGCTTCAACCGTTTCATTGTGTACTCAAACGATCCCAAACTCTCCATCTTCTTGAGCGCCAATTCTTTCACTTCGTTGTCACTCGTCCTCTGTTTTAGGATTTCTATAATTATGTCATTTCATCGCAAAAATTAATATATTTTTAACACAATTAAGACATGAAAAGATGAATTCATACGCAATAGTGTGCTGTCGTTGGGATCACTTTCAATGGCGTGTATTATAGGGAATGAAAACTTTCCTTCAGTTAAATCCTCACAAAATCCTTTATTCATTGCGTACTAAATGTGACAAAAATGGTTGAAAATAGTTTAAATATAATTATTATTAAAATCATTGTAAGTATAGATACCTTATTTGACTTTAGGTTCTCGTAATCGTCATTAATCTGGAAGTAATGACTTAAAGCTATCACAAGTGGACTGAAATCCTGTTTATTATCACTGAATATTTGCATCAATTGGACGGCCAGTGAGAACAGTCCTCCAGTTTTGTTAATCATATTCATGTATTCCTCTTCAGACGGACATATGAACGAATCCCTCCAATGTATATCCATTCCTTGTATTACATAAATAATTAATTAATTAACTTATTAGAGAGAGAGAGAGAGAGAGAGAGAGAGAGAGAGAGCTGAGAGAGAACTACCCTGTCCTCTGTGTAGATCCAGCAACTTATTAGTGAACAATTCAATGGCATTTAGTCTGTTTGTCTCCGGTATGTGTTGAATGATCTTCTGGAGGGCCAAGAAATAGCAATAATTGGCACAATTGATGGTCGATCCGACCCCGAAAATTAGGTGCGCCGTCGGTGTACCTCGCCTTAGGTTTGAATTATCCTCGATGTCATCGATTCTGTGAATAATTATCTTTATGTTAATTCAATTGATACTTAATATTATAAGTTTTCATACAATAGACTATGGAAATGTTGAATGCCTATAATTACAATTTATTATTTAATTTAGAAAGGGTATTTTAGCATTCATAGTTATATTTGGTAACTTTTATTACTATTGTGTATCAAATAGATTTCTATTTTACTCAATTTATAAAACATTCAAATCAATTTATTATTTTCTACAATTATATCTTAAACTTGAATATTTGTAAATTGTTTAGTATTTTATTATTAATTAGTTAAACAATTTGTTAGTATCAACTACTGGTGCCTAAATGGTTCCAAAATTAAATCTTAAAAACCATAAGATTTTAATATGATGGTAATATGATGTATACCATTATGGTGTTATAGATTAGTTTATAATCCCATTATAAACTGGAATTAAGTTTTCAAAACATATTGCCATTAATATGATAATCATAATTAAAACCTTCTTAATAGCACCGGTACTAATAAAATATAGCAAACATAATTTAAATGAAAAACATTTACAAATTAAAAATTTAACTTGTTAACTTTTAAAATATTAATAACATAAGGCTAGGTAGTATGATAATTATTAATATTATCTAATTTTGAATATGTTTCTCTACTGTGTTTGTGTATTAAAAGCATAACTACTTGTTAATTAACAATTACTAGTATAAATATATTATCATTGATATTTTAAATAATGCTTAATAATATGGATTTTTATTTATGAATACCTGGATCAATTTAGAACGAAATTCTTTGCCATTAGTGCCAATTAAATAGTTGTACGGCTCTAACAGTATCTATAAATTGGAGAATTTATTATAATTAGTAAATTAAATCATTATAAATTATAAATTATAAAACACAAATAAAAATAATCTTACATTTGAATAAATGTTATTTTCAGTCATTTTAATTTAAAACTTTTACTTATAAGTTAAATTATAAATTTTATATTAATAACTGTTACATAGATTTACTGTTAAAATTTTATTTCTAAACTAAATTATAAATAACTATTTATGGCATATGTTTACGTACTGAAGGGAAACACCAAATTGATTTTTAAATTTATGTTACATTTAACATATATTTCTATTTTTAAAAATATTTAATTTCCATTAAAATTAATAAAATATTTTGTAATACATTTTAATTAATACTGTAGTTTATTAATTGGTAAATCCAGTGATCAAATATGTTTAATACAAATCACTTGTATTTTAATAATAATTAATATTAAATCTAAACTATAAAATGTAAAATCTATTATATAGTGTTTTTGATTTACATTTATATAAAAAATTAAGTTGAATAAATTAAACTGTCTATAATTATTATGTTATTTATATTTAAAATAATCTAGTAGAAATCTATGAGACACTCCCATTTCTATAGAATTAAACGTCACTATAAACCCAAATTTATAAGTATACAGGATACAAAAAAGTACAATAGTTGTTTGGGAGACAACATATTATTTAATAAATTATTATTAAAGTAAGCTAAATATTTTTTAAATAATTTTTTGTCATAAGTTTGAACAACATAATAAATATAATAATTATTTGTATTTATTGTATTAATAATCATTTATAAGATCTATAGTACATCTGAACCTGTTTTCATACATTTGTGGAAATAATTATTATGAAGTTTCGCAAATAATAATTTGTTTTAAATAAAAACCAAATTATCTAGACATAATGGATTTATGGTATAATCTAAAACATTGTGAGAATTCATAATAGAGACAAATAATAATTATTATGTAATAAACATATAATTTTATTTTAATGATATTCAATTTGAGCCTGGAAATCAATAATCAAATGACATAGAAAATATTATACAACTGTACTCATATAACTGTATACAATGTACATATATTGTATAGATTTAATATTCTGTTAAACAGTGTGATCCGGCTTAATTGTTAATATTTATACTGTATATAACTTAATTTATTCATAAATAAATATAGGTATGCTAGCACAGGCTGTCCAAAATATTAATCGTTAAAACAAATGAAAATGTATTTCAAATAAAATAATTTGTTTAGTACTAGTAATATATGTACATACATTTGATTATTTAATTTTCTGAGACTTTTTTTTTATTGATCCATTCACACTTCAAATCGTAATCTAAATGTTAGATGCAATTACTTTCTAAATAAAAAATATTTTATAAATATAATTTATAATAAATTTTTTATATGGTAACTTTGTTCGTA